AGCCAGAGACTGAAACAACAACAGAAAAAGAGGAACGTAGCGCTGAGAACTCGGAAGACGCCAGTAAGGACAAAACGGAAGCAGCAAAAGACCAAGACGACGTTAAAACCCCAGAGAAGGACACTAAAGAGGTTTGTATCGACGCCAAATCAGACAAGACTGAAAAAGTAGAAGATTCAACAGCCTCTAAAACCTGCGAAGAACATCCGGAAACGAAGGGCGAGGAAAAGTCGGGTCACGCTGAAGATCCGACCGAGCAAAAAGAATCGAGCGCTGATCCGAAAGCGGAGGAGGAACCTTCAAAACCAAGTGAGGAAACATCTAAAGGCGCAGAGAAAATGGACACGGAGGAGAAAGAGAAGGAGAAGGAGAAGGACGAGAAAGAGACTCCGAAATCGCCGCTTCCCGAGGAGACCAGGAAAGAGGAGGAAGGTCCAGAAGCTAAAGACGGAGAGACGAAGAAGGATGACGAGAAAACGGAACAAACTAAACAAGACGAAACGAAAACGGCGGAGGAGAACGCCGGCAAAGAACCGGAAACGAACGGCGAAGGCGAGAGGACGGACGAAGGGAAAAAAGCGGAGGAGGAGCGAGCAGAAGACGAGAAGAAAGCGGAGGAGGAGGAGGAGGAGGAGAAGGAGCCGAAGAAGAGGGTGGGGAGGAAGCCGCGGAGAAGACCGGCTCACAGGAGGAAGGCGGAGCTGCAGAAGGAGGAGAAAGACTCGGAGTCGGACACCAACACGGGTCTGTCGCTCAGGAGGTCTCCGCGGATCAGACCGGCGCCCAAACCCGCCCCGGAACCCAAAGACGAGAAGAAAGACGAGAAGAAAGACGGCGGCCAGGATAAGGAGAGCGAGGAGGAAGAGGAGGAGGAGGAGGAGACGACGAAGACGAAGGCCACGCCCAGGAAGCCCAGAGAGAAGAAGGTTCAGGACAAAGATCAGGAGGGACAACCGAAGAAGGTACGAAGAAAAAACCTCTGTGTGGCTTTAGATGTGAGTAGACCTGGTTTAGACCTGGTTTAGACCTGGTTTAGACCTGGTTTAGACCTGGTTTAGACCTGGTTTAGACCTGGTTTAGACCTGGTTTAGACCTGTTTAAGTCCTGGTTTAGACCTGGTTTAGACCTGGTTTAGTTTAGTCCTGGTTTAGACCTGGTTTAGACCTGGTTTAGTCCTGGTTTAGTCCTGGTTTAGTCCTGGTTTAGACCTGGTTTAGACCTGGTTTAGACCTGGTTTAGTCCTGGTTTAGTCCTGGTTTAGTCCTGGTTTAGACCTGGTTTAGACCTGGTTTAGACCTGGTTTAGACCTGGTTTAGTCCTGGTTTAGTTCCTGGTTTAGACCTGGTTTAGACCTGGTTTAGTCCTGGTTTAGTCCTGGTTTAGACCTGGTTTAGACCTGGTTTAGTCCTGGTTTAGTCCTGGTTTAAGACCTGGTTTAGACCTGGTTTAGACCTGGTTTAGTCCTGGTTTAGACCTGGTTTAGACCTGGTTTAGTCCTGGTTTAGTCCTGGTTTAAGACCTGGTTTAGACCTGGTTTAGACCTGGTTTAGACCTGGTTTAGTCCTGGTTTAAAGTTTCCTGGTTTAGACCTGGTTTAGTCCTGGTTTAGTCCTGGTTTACTGGTTTAGACCTGGTTTAGACCTGGTTTAGTAGACCTGGTTTAGACCTGGTTTAGACCTGGGTAGACCTGGTTTAGACCTGGTTTAGTCCTGGTTTAGTCCTGGTTTACCTGGTTTAGACCTGGTTTAGACCTGTTAGTTTTAGTCCTGGTTTAGTCCTGGTTTAGTCCTGGTTTAGTTTCCTGGTTTAGACCTGGTTTAGACCTGGTTTAGACCTGGTTTAGACCTGGTTTAGTCCTGGTTTAGTAGACCTGGTTTAGTCCTGGTTTAGACCTGGTTTAGTCCTGGTTTAGTCCTGGTTTAGACCTGGTTTAGTTTACCTGGTTTAGACCTGGTTTTCCTGGTTTAGTTTCCTGGTTTAGTCCTGGTTTAGTCCTGGTTTAGACCTGGTTTAGACCTGGTTTAGTCCTGGTTTTAGTCCTGGTTTAGACCTGGTTTAGACCTGGTTTAGTCCTGGTTTAGTCCTGGTTTAAGACCTGGACCTTTTAGACCTGGTTTAGACCTGGTTTAGTCCTGGTTTAGACCTGGTTTAGACCTGGTTTAGACCTGGTTTAGACCTGGTTTACCTGGTTTAGCCTGGTTTAGTCCTGGTTTAGACCTGGTTTAGTCCTGGTTTAGACCTGGTTTAGTCCTGGTTTAGTCCTGGTTTAGCCTGGTTTAGTCCTGGTTTAGTCCTGGTTTAGACCTGGTTTTAGTCCTGGTTTAGTCCTGGTTTAGACCTGGTTTAGTCCTGGTTTAGACCTGGTTTAAGTCCTGGTTTAGTCCTGGTTTAGTCCTGGTTTAGTCCTGGTTTAGACCTGGTTTAGACCTGGTTTAGACCTGGTTTAGACCTGGTTTAGACCTGGTTTAGACCTGGTTTAGTTCTCATGTCTGCGGTGGTTTCAGGGGAGGAAGAGGAGGAAGGTTCGTTGGACCAACACTCGGACTCGGCGGAGGAAGAAAGGCTCGGACGAGGACGAGGAGAACAGCGAGGACGAGACGAGCGAGTACGAGGAGAGCGAAGTGGACGACACGAGCGACGAGGACTACAAGGTGGAACGGACGAGGAAGAGGAGGAACCGCAACAACCGCGAGCGACGCAGCTCCGAGTCCTCGTGCTCCTCCGACGACCTCCCGCCCAACGAGGACCCCTGCAAACACTGCGGCCTCCCCAACCACCCCGAACTGGTGAGGCCCGCGCCCCCGCCCCGTCACCGCGCCGGGGGCTCCGCACGGGTGTCTGCGGTGGAATGTGCAGCAGTTAGTGTGTGTGTGTGTGTGTGTGTGTGCGCGCGTGCAGGGTTCGTTCACATTAATCCGACGGAAAACGGCTCCGGAGGCGGAACGTTGCGGTGCCTCCAGCTCAGCGAGTTCACGTTCACGCAGATCTGATCCGGCACCGTGTGGACTCCTGAAAACTCTGATCCTCTGATGTCGAGTCTGGTTCTGATTGGACCATGTGTCTCTGCGACTCGCTCCTTCTGATTCTCCGGGTTTGTGACGAGAAAACAATTTAAACAAACCAGCAGTGTTGGGAAGTTTACTTTTCAAATGTAATCCCCTACAGATTACAGATTACAGATTACACACACCAAAATGTAGTTTGTAACAGAATCCATTAAATGACTTAAAGTGAGTAATGTAATCTGATTACTTTGGATTACTTGATTTGTTGTAGAGAAACAAAGACGAGGAAATCTTCACATAAGAAGTTTTATCTGATAAAAGAAAATAAAAAGTCCAAACTTTACTGAACCAAATTAAAAATATTATTGATAAAAGACGAAGAAACACGTCCACACAGCAGGATTTAGACCTGGTTTAGTCCTGGTTTAGACCTGGTTTAGTCCTGGTTTAGTCCTGGTTCAGACCTGGTTTAGTCCTGCTTTAGTCCTGGTTTAGTGTCTGGCAATGAGTGGAATTACTGAAAAAAAAAAAAAGGATTTAGCCCAAAATGTGAAAACAAGAAAATCCCGCTGTGTAATCTATTTATTTCAACAAAGTAACTGTAATCCAATTACCACTCACTGAAACAGTAACTGTAACTGAATACAGTTACTCATCATTTGTACTCTGATTACTCTGGTACATGTAATCTGTTACTCCCCGACACTGAAAGACAAACAGAAACAGAGGAGATACAAACACAGAACACACTGAGCATCAGCAGAACACCCCTCTGTCACACAGAGAGAACACCCCTCTGACACAGAGAGAACACCCTCTGAACACCCTCTGTCACAGAGAGAGAACACCCTCTGACACACAGAGAGACACACCTCTGACACACAGAGAGAACACCCCTCTGACACACAGAGAGAACACCCTCTGTCACACAGAGAGAACACCCCTCTGACACAGAGAGAACACCCTCTGTCACACAGAGAGACACAGAGAGAACACCCTCTGTCACACAGAGAGAACACCCTCTGTCACACAGAGAGAACACCCCTCTGACACAGAGAGAACAACCCTCTGTCACAGAGAGACCCTCTGACACAGAGAGACACCCCTCTGACACACAGAGAGAACACCCCTCTGTCACACAGAGAGAACACCCCTCTGTCACACAGAGAGAACACCCCTCTGACACACACAGAGAGAACACCCCTCTGACACACAGAGAGAACACCCCTCTGACACAGAGAGAACACCCCTCTGTCAACAGAGAGAACACCCCTCTGTCACACAGAGAGAACACCCCTCTGTCACACAGAGAGAACACCCCTCTGTCACACAGAGAGAACACCCCTCTGTCACACAGAGAGAACACCCCTCTGACACAGAGAGAACACTCATATTCCACTGAGTCACTGTGTCCTTTAGTCCAACACAAACTGAACCACATCAAAAAATGTGTCAAAGTTGTGTTGAGGGAACAGACACAGACACGACGAGTGTGGACGCAGACACAGACACGACGAGTGTGGACGCAGACACAGACACGACGAGTGTGGACGCAGACACAGACACGACGAGTGTGGACGCAGACACAGACACGACGAGTGTGGACGCAGACACAGACACGACGAGTGTGGACGCAGACACAGACACGACGAGTGTGGACGCAGACACAGACACGACGAGTGTGGACACAGATGGTTTCAGATACAGTGATACGGTGATTTGTTTCATTGTAAACATGATCTAAGAAACTAAAGAAAACTAAATAAAAAATACAAACTGGATTTAAACAGCACATTTTCCAGAACACTTTATTATTATTATTATTATTGTTAGTCTACATCTCTAAGGTCACATTTACACTGAAATGACTCCATGTATCACCGTATCGGTAATGATCTGTGTCCACACTCGTCGTGTCTGTTTCCTTCACAACTTTGACACATTTGTTTAAGTTTGACACAAACTAAACGTTAAATCACATGACTCATTTGCATA